GGGAACAAAAGACTCACCCTCCAGGTATGTATTTGACAGATGCTGCTAAAAATACTTTCATGAAAAAAGATGGGGAAAAATCCAGGTTTTATTGTATTAAAACCACAGTGACAGAGAAGTACTTTAAAAAAAAAATAGTGATATAAGTTGTCTTATTATTTGGGATATCTAAGAGTGCTTGCATGTAATTGTTTTCCTCAGCTATTGTGAAAGTTTAGAAATATTTGGTTTTTAATGGTAGAGGTGATGAAATATAAAATAATCCATAGTATACAAAGGCATGCAAGGCAGTGATTGAAGTGATTATACCAGGCCATTTCCTTTAAAACACCTAACACAGTGCCTGCACTTTCAAGGCAGCACAAGGAGGACATAAGCAAGATTTAACCTGAAGGAAAGAACAAAAGAAATGGATATTAAAACGTGATCACTCTTGGAGCTGTTATATGTATCATAGAGGTAATAGACTAAGCGTGGTTCAGAATAAATATGAACTTTGTTAGAGAGAACCAGCAGAACAGTTCATCACTTAAGCAGATATATAATGCTTCAACTAAAAAAAAATCCAAAACATTTTACTATGCACTCACTTTGGAATCAGGACCAAATTCAGAGCTCAGCTTGCCAGATGGACATTGAATATTTGAGAGAGAGAGGAGGCTGATTACTGAATCAGCCTATTACAAGCCAAACCAGGCTATTGGATTTCTGCAGGTATATGAGCTCATGCCAGTGAGGTTCTTAACCCAAAGGTGAGCCCTGCCCCTGGGCCAGGTAACCCCAGGACTGCCCTGCTACATAAGCCCTATATGAAATATGGAATATCCCATTTATCCAGGAAAGATGCACCATTTCTCCTGTCAGAAGAATTATTGCATCCAAAGGCACTGTGGAATGTTCAGTTTGGGGTTTATTCCATTAGGAAACAGATTCTGGCACCAGAAAAATGGAATAGCAATGGCAACTTCTCATGGGAAAACTTTAGGTCTCTTCATGGCAAAGACGTTTTTGGTAGTTTTTGACAGTAAGAATTGCATTGGCAGCATATCAAAATGTTTGCATGTGTGAAAACACTCCTATTACAGAATTCTGTTCTCACTTGAACAATCTAAGGGGACCTGAAGAATTCAATGCTGAAAACAGGTACTGCTGTGAGGGTGTTGTTTGGGGAGCAGCAGAAGATCCATGTACTGGCACTAGATTTTAGGTAACGCTCTGTGAAGACCAGTCACCTGAAAAAAAAATTTGTCAACAAATTCTAGTTCTCTTTCCAGAGGTCTCATTTCAATTTTCTGATGCCATGACAGTGCAAAATCCTCATCAGTTCTCTAAATTCCTGTCAGGTTTTTGTTATTTATTGTGAGCCTACAGTTTTTTTGGAAGGGTTCATTCCAGTCAGTCTGCAACACATTGCTAGAGTGTATCAACACTTGTCTAAACATCAGATATTCTCATCTGAAATCTGAGGTTTTTCTGGTTTGAAGTTTCTCAGACACCACACAAAACACGTATTTTCTTTTTTTTCTCTGCTTCTGCTCCTATGCAGAAAACCCAGCACAAAGGCACGTGAAAAGTGCCCAGAGATTCAGTCAGGAGTCTGTGCAGTCAGGGACTTGTTATGTCACAGAGTCACAGGTTTAGTCACAGGTCTAACACAAAAAACATGACATGATTTTCATGTAGCATTAACTTCTTACTTTTTTTCTATATAACTCTTATTTCTCTTGGGAGGGGATAAAGGTTTTTGCAGCTAGCAAACCAAGTTCTCAGTGTGCCTTGATTACAGCTTGAGAGGGCACGATTACCTCAATTCGGGTTATCACTCACTGCCCAGGAACCCAAGGCACTAAACCTACAAACCCCACCCAGGAATGGACATCTGAGCTCAGAAAAGGACAGAAGAAAAGCATCAGAAGACATGGAAAATAAAGATGGCTAAGAGATGATCTACAGACATTCAGTGAGATGCAGGATGGCATTTAAATTTACTTTTTGTCATTATTTACATCAGAAAGGCACCACAGCCTCTACAGTTTTGGGTATCTTGTCTACAGAAGGGATTGTAAATATGAAAATTCAACAAACTAAGCAAATGAAGAACACCACTGCACCACCTCAAGGCACAGATTCTGCTGTGAGCACAGCACAACTTCTATATATATAATAAAATTTTCTGAAGTGTTTTGTGGTTTTTTTGTGTGGTTCCTGATGAAGATACCTGTTGTGTCACTTAGTTAAACACATTTCTCAATAACAACCTGGCCAATCATAATATTTGCAGTGTGTGTCAGCAGCACAGTTAATTACTGACTATCGTGGGAACTTGCCCTAGGGTGATTTGGAAGGTTTGAACAACAGAATCAGCCTGTGTGCAACAAACTGAATTGATTAATGGTTATGCTTATGTTCTACACAGGAAGGGAACATTCCAAATCACAGGCATCTTATGAACTCTTTGGCATGAGGGACAGAAAGAGGACACTGCAGCTTTTTTCTCCTGGCAGGTGCCAATCTGCCCTGTTGGCACACCAGTGTCACTCAATGTCATCATTAGGTGGTGGCCAAATGCCACACGGTTACCTAAAGCACAAGGGAACCCAAAAGGGCAATATCTCTCCTTGAGGAGAGCTACTTGCATTTATCTCCACCCTCATGAGAAAAGAAGAAAGGCAAGGTATGAAAAATGAATCAAATGAAGAAATGTGCTAATTCTAGCAAGTAAAAATTTGGTTTCTACAGGAGGCTTCCTGAGAAAATGCAGTCCCTGTATGGTGTCCACAAGAGGACGGCATTTCTTTCGCAGTCATCAGGTTTCTGCTGCCCTGAAGAATTAATTTGGCAGAGCCAAGACTCTGGGAGGAAATTGAGGCTGAGGACACAGTCAGGAAGATGTCAAGGATTTTGTCCACCAGTTTTTCTCTTCCAAGCTGTACTGTGTTGAGCATTGATCTGATCTCCAGAAAGGAGAGAAAGGTTTGTTGCAGGCATTTCCTTACAGTTCCAGACCACACTAACTTGGTTATGGACAGCCCAAACACTCAGTAATACAAAAAAAAAAAAAAAAAGAGAAATTTGACTTGTAAATTCAGGGTTTTTTTAGAGATATTGGTGTTTTTTAACATGAATAATCACTCATGCTTACCTGGAAGATATATTCAAGACAAAGTCATGGTCAAGTTCTTTGTTTAAGTGGCACAACTGAATAAAGACTTACTGAAGATTTATGATGTTTAAAGGACATAAAAACTCACCTCAGCCAAATTATACCCTGATTTTGGCTCTGACAGGACTATTTGCTTCCTGTGGGAGATCATGTTCTAACATCAACCATGCACTGCACCCCTGACTGAGCAATCCTGATAGACAAGGATGGCATGCATAGTTGGAATTTTATTATTGGATACTGAAGGATTAAATCAGAAAACTCTCTTCAAGCAGCTTTTTAATTTCAAGAGATTTCAGGTGGTTGTTTTAAAAGAATTTTCACATTCAACTGATTCAAACACATTAAAAACTGCATAAAAGTGAGTGGCAATGAGTTACAAAATTTGACTTTTGTAAACCTTGTTACACAGAAAGTTTCCTCACTCCCACTCAGCTCAGGACATTTTGCCATTGTCTGTGAGTAGGAGCAGGAGTGGGTCTTAAATAGGTAACAGATTGGCAGGATAAGGGTAATTAGCGACGTGAGCTCAGTATTTTAACATGAAGAGAAATGCTAAGATCTTTTTTACTTTGTCATGCTGTGCCAAGCAAACCACCTGACATTTAGGATGCTTAATTCAATTTGTGTTACACTGCTGATGATTATGAAATGCATTTTGAAGAGGTTTGTTTTATCTTCTCCAGAAAACACACAGAGACTCATTTACTACAAGAAAATAGAGATGTAAGTACAGACACACTTTGTGAATGCTAGAAGAGAAAAACACATCTAAAGAAAAGGAAAATATAGGATAAATTTAAGCAGGTTTAAGAATTAAGATGCAGTGTCATTTAGCTGTCATCATGCTTCTAGGTTGGAACAGAGAGAATAAAAAAAATGCAAACAGCATTTCCTCTTTAATTGGCATTTCACGTATTGCTTTTACACTCCTGCACATACAGCTCACACATGTGTCTTCCTATTAGTAATGAGCTAAAAAGGGCTTTACTTTCTTACCATTTCAAATAAGACTGAATTTGACTAGAATTCCTGGCAGGATGTGCTTTATTAAAAACAGCCAAGATAGAACAACTTTGCTGAATATTCAAGTAAGTATAAACACATCGAGCACTCTTTACAACATTCTTGGGATCACTGCTAGCTCCTTGTCTCACCTGACCTTCAAACAGATCTGTGTGCCAAAGAAAAGGATCAGTATAAATTTATTGCCCAACAATATTAAATGAGTCTTTTTTTGTTCCTATCACAAGTGAATGGTCCCTTCTAGAGCCCTGCAAAATAACATTTTGCCCTTCCAGAAGTGCTTCAAAGCACAGTGAACTCAATGCGCCCTTCTGGGCTTTGCTGACCTAAGGGATTTCTCTTTCTAGCAAAAGTTCCTCACCAAAATACTTTGAGACCTTTATACACACAACAAACAGGCTGGAAAAGTGCTTTCTTTGGGAGATTGAGTAGATACTTAATTTTATGTTCCCATCCATAAACAGTCAATGTAGGAATCAACATTCATCTATCAACATAGTTTCAGATTTTCATCTTACACAGTACCTCTGGAATTTCAAATTAATAGGAATAATACAGGCAGTAAATCTATCCCTTCATTTTATTTAAGCCAGTGAGCTGTCTTCTGGATCTAAATTCCATATTTATTTTATTTTCTTCTTATCTACTTTAAAATTATTGGAAATAGCTTAAGAGATATAATGAAGGCACCATTCAGTAGATTATTTATGTTTTAATTGCCCAAAGGACACACTGGTAAAGTAATTGGAAGTCAACAAAACAATTTGAAAGTAAGTAGCTGAGATACACATTTTATATCTGTTCTATTTACCTTCATTTTTCTTGATGGTGAAATTTGGGTTGTTGACCATTTCAGGAAGAAGGCTGTAGAGGAAATAATGCCCATTTTTAGGATCATCCTTGTCAACAGCACTGACAATCTGAATTACCTGCAACACAAATGGGCTCATTAAGTTTTCACACTCCTGATAAAAAGACAGTGCTGAAAAAAAAAAATTGTATTTATTTGAGACATTTCATTTCTCTCCATGCCAGAATAAAAATGATAATTTATAACTTTGCAATGCTTTTACAGACCTTAGACTGAAAACCTTGGGAAGAGGAACTGTATCTGTTCCTTTTAAAATGTTTCCAGAACAAAGAGCCAGCAAATAAGGAGAGACAGGTAAGAGAGGACAGAAGAAACTGCTGCTGATTTAGACAAGTAATAAATTATTATTCAACAAAAAAAGGAAAATTGGGTTTTGGAAACACTCATATTGCCTATGGCAATCTTTCATTTATATGACCACACCTTCTCACTGGACCTGGATATATAATATACCTTTAAGCCTTTCTCCTTCCCCCACTCCACATTTCGTTTATTTGAATAATTATTATTTTTTTAAATTAATTTAGATGTGAAATTTTAGATGAGAAAAACTCAAAACTGAAAAAAAAAAGAAAATAAATATCGAGGGCTGTATTTTTCCCCCTAAATTCTAATAAAACCTCAGTTATTCCTGAACTAGGAAGACATGTTCCTTTCTTTGTTTTTAGTATCATTATTAACTAATGATTCCTAGAATAATGGAAGATAATTAGGTGAGAAGAGTGTTTTGGATAGTTTGGAGAACTTTGAATAATCAAATAACTTTTTATGAAGTACCTCATATGATTTTCATAACCAACTGCAGCGTCTGAAGTGGATTTACCTACATTTACAATTTCTACCTTCTACATAACTCAGGTATTGCAGCTAATCATCTTCAAATCATACAAAGTTGCACAAGACTATGAAAGGAAGAAATACTATTTTAAAATAACCGTGAGGTTTGGGGGTTTGGGGGTTTTTTGTTTGATTTTTTTTTATTATTTTTTGTGATTTTTTTTTTGTTTTGTTGGGATTTAAAAAATATTTGGTGCGCTTGCTTTTGATTCCAAAGGTTTTCCAAAGAAACAGAAACAAAATCAGCCATGGATCCATATCCCACCCTCAGATCTGACTTTCAGGGCTAATTAGCTCGTGCTAGATGAGGTTTATAAGAAATGTAATTAGAATTATTGACCTTTTCCATGTCTGTTGAATCCAATAACAATTGTCTTATGTATTTATCTTCAATGCCTGAAGCAATGCACCAATAATTTCTTGCACAATTAAATTCAAATTAGGAATCACTAAAAATTTTAGTTTTAAATTATAGAGTGAAAAATGGAAGCAGGGTTTGATGCTGCCCGAATTCATAAACTTTTATTTAAAAATTTCCACATTTCCCTAAGTAACTGCCAATAACTAACATTTTATTCTGGCTTAACCACCAGGACTATCAATCTGTATGTGTTAAATATATGAAAATAATCAAAATCATATTTATGTTCTTCAAGAGTCAAAGAAAGAACAGAATCTTACTAGATTACCACAGGGATCACCACTAGATTACTTACAGGGATCAACACCAAAACATAAATATTTGAAATTATGTAAGTAAAAAAAATGTTTGAGCAAGTAGTGATATTTGTAGGACAACCCAACTTAGGAAGGAATGTGAGAAAATTAATTCCTGGCCTAATCATATTCTGGATAGGTCAGCTTTATCATTATTATTCTAAAAAACCTAATAAAACAATATTTAATTGCTTAAATACCACATTAATAGTTTTGGGTTTATTTTGATAACTGCATCTTTCAAGGTGGAAATCCTGACAGGATTTCAAACAAATGTATTAGAAGAGATGGACAAAAAAATAAAAAAGCCTAACTCAGCTTTTGCTTTTTTTTATTTTAAGAAGTTGCTCTCCAATTTAATAGGTGAATAACCTAATCCTAAAGTGGGAAAAATATAAACAGTGCAAAAATATCTCAGTAGCTTCTGTCTGTCCCATGCAGAGATGGAGCCATTTGCAGATGGGAAATATTTTCATCTTTTTCTTTGCAGAGGTGTCAGGCACTAAAGCACCCACTGTGATGTGCCCAGGGCTGGAGCAGGTACCAGTAATTCATCATCATAGGGGAGTGCAGTTTGGGCTGGGATCCTGAACATGACAGATATATTTAGACAGAAATACTTTATGGCTGTTCAATTTTTCAAACACTGATAGAATGGGAAAGCAATAGGGAAAAAGGATAATGGCACAGTGAATTTCCAGTGAAATCTGGAAGGGCAGGTATAGTTTATCAGGTGGTTATAATATTTTGTATGTACTGGTATTCCATCCATTCCCTTCACTGCTTACAAAATCCTTCTTTCTCTGAAAATGCACCAAAAATTTTATGCAAAAGACAGGCTTAGTGCAATACTACATTTGTTGTGTTACATGCACACATGACAGAATTAAGAGTTAGAGTTCCCATAGCAACCTTATTTCTTTGTGCGTTTGCATTAAGATAAGCTCGTAAAAAAAAACAAAAACACAAATACCACAACAGAAAACATAATATGTATGCAGTGATATGAAACTGGTATCTTTTACTCCATAGGGGTGAGAAAAGTCCAGTAATTCTAATTTCCAAGTTTTTATTAGTGTGCTGATAGGCATATTTTACTATTCTGTGTTGTGTAGTCATGCAATGGAATACTACTGAAGTAATTCTCCAACTCTTAATTTGAGGTTCAGAACGTTGTTGAGAATCACAAAATCACAGAGTCACAAAACCAGTGAGGTTGGAAAAGCCCTCCAAGACCACTTGGAGTCCCAGCTGTGCCCGATGCCCACCTTGTCCCCAGCCCAGAGCTCTGAGTGCCACCTCCAGCCCTTCCTGGGACACCTCCAGGGATGGGCACTGCAAAGCTCCCTGGGCAGCCCCTGCCAAGGCCTGAGCTCCCTTTCCATGGGCAAATTCCTGCTGCTGTCCACCCTGAGCCTCCCCTGGCCCAGCCTGAGGCCGTTCCCTCTGCTCCTGTCCCTGTTCCCTGGCAGCACAGCCCGACCCCCCCGGCTGTCCCCTCCTGCCAGGGACTTGTGCAGAGCCACAAGGGCCCCCTGAGCCTCCTTTTCTCCAGGCTGAGCCCCTTTCCAGCTCCCTCAGCCCCTCCTGGGGCTCCAGCCCCTTCCCAGCTCCGTTCCCTGCCCTGGACACGCTGCAGCCCCTCCAGGGCTCTCTGGCTGTGAGGGACCCAAAACTGTCCCCAGTGCTGGAGGTCCCTCAGCAGGGCCAGCACAGGGGACAGGTACTGCCTTGATCCTGTGGCCACCCCAGGGCTGGCACAGCCAGGTGCCATCAGCCTCTGGCCCACTACAGATGTCTTTTCTTTCCTGGTGACAGCATGCACTCCCAAGGTGTTCCATTATAGAGAAATTGTTCAATACTTGTCATAAAGAAAACAAGAAGTGATTTTTTTTTCACTTCATATCCAGTGAAAGTTAATAACCCTTTGGCTGCTCAGTCTTGAAATTTCTGAAATTCTTACATGTAAAATTCCAACTTTGATGTTGTATTAATACTTCATGCATGCATTTCATTCTGTACATACACTTAGCAGAAACTTTGGAAATCAGCATATTTTGTTTAGCAGACAGCACTGGATTGTAATGAATAGTTAAATGGTCCCCTAGGACAACTTGACTTTCTAATTTGTAGGTTTGTATTGCAGTTCTACAAAGCCACATGTGCCTGAAATAATATATACAAGGATAAATAGAAAAACAAAGTTATTTTCAAAGCATCATGACTATCTACATGCCATTTTATTACATGGTACTGTTTAAAAGACTTTTCCTGTCAGGTAAGTCATTAACCTCACTAAGAACGGATCCTTATCACTAGTAAACACTTTTCTGATTTAATAAGACTGATCTTCCAACTCTGGAAAAGCTCTTGCGCTCCCATTGCTGCCCATGGTTATTTCTGCATTATTTTCAGCCTCTAAACACCCTAAGAGTAGACTCACCACAGAGCAATTTTAACCTTGTCTTTCTGAAGAGTCCAGTGCAGGTTCTGGCAGTAAAGGGATGGCTCTAGCTGAAAAGGCAAAAATCTACCTGAAGATTTTCCCCATTAGAAAGAAAAACAATCTGGTAGGAGAAGTGAATAAAATAGAGACAAATTGTGGGAGACTGGAGGAGCACTGTACTCAGTTTTATATTGCTCTGCTTTAAAGCTGGCTTCAGCTCTCATATATCGCTGTCCTCACTACTCAAGTGAACATTTTGTAGCTTTGTTTCCAGCAAACAGCACTTCCCTGGAAAAGTCTGAGGATGGGCTGGGGAATAGTGAATGAGGTACTTTTCTTACTCAACATTACAGAAGTTGTGTTCTGTTCCTTTTCTACAGGAAAATAATTTTACTGTGCTGAAGAACAACCAACAGCACAATAGCACAGCTATAATCAGCAAACCATGAATGTTCTGGTTTTAGGAATTGGAATTATGCAATAAAAAAGGGATAACAGGAAAAGGCAAGAGCTGATTTGTGGCTAACTTAGAGGTACTGTAACAATACATTCAAATTTTGGTTTGTTGGTTTTTTCCCCCTCCCTAAAACTGACAAAAAAATATCTGGAAACTCTGTTGTGTGTAAAAATGTGCAAAGAGCACACAAATACATGCACAGACAAATAAATACATTCCCTCCCCCTTCCCTTTCCTCTCCTATCAGTCAGTGGTACCCTCACTCTTAGGGGTAGGTCAAGGCAAGGAAAATGCATCTGGCAGCATTGTACATCAGGAGTTTTTAATGCATTGTTTCACCTCAGTAGCAGCTGCACTTGCTACTGCAATTATATCAGAACTGAGAACAGAACACTTAGAAAGTGAACTGGAATAAATGGTACAACATATTTAGTGGCTGCACATAAGGTTTTACCAATAGTTCAAATATAATTTCCTTTATGGTAAATCAAATTTTATATAAACTTAGATTAAATGGAATTGCAAATGTTGACAGGAATAGCTTAAGACAATTGCACCTTTCCTGCACATTTAACATTGGAGTTTAAGCTTTGGACAACCATCCAAATTAGGCTTTTGCTATTGTATTAGGAGAAGTATCTTTCTCATATCAGCTATTTCATAGCTCAGAATATGTAGTGTCTTGAATTCTACATCTTGACTTACTAATATGATTTCTTCCAAAACTTGAATATAGAAATAAGCATTAGAAAATACAATAAGGTGGGGGAGTTACTAAAATCTTTACAGGAGCTGATAATTTTTGAATGACGACTTCAACTCAGAACCTAACCTTGGTGATTAATCTGGGCTGGTTACTGTTCCAGTAGTGTTATTTGTTTAAACACAGAATAAATTGCAGGATCAGTGCCACCTCATCCATGCTGGCAGCCAAATATTTAATAACAATCTGTAAAGTTCACACAAGATTCATGCTCAAGAGTGACATCTGCCATCAGATCAAGAGTGGAAGAGGTAATGGTACATAAAGAAAATCATGTTTTAATGAAAGTTTTCTGCAAGTGTTTAAGTAAAAGCCTCTTTTACCTGCTGACTCTTAATCATCTCATTTATTGTTTTATTCCAGAATGAAGGGTGAACATTTTTCACCATCTCTTAAACCACCTGAAATTCAATAGCAATAGGAATACCTAGATAAATACAGCCAGAAATCACTGTACAACAGAACTTGCTAATTTTAGGGAAGCTCACAGAGACCTGGATAAAGGCACAGTCATTAGGATTTAATCTATCCTGGAAAATGTAACTACTCAGCATCAGCAATCCACTCTGAGCTAAACAGAAATCCACTCTGAGCTAGAAGAGCTAAAATGCCAACAGTAACATGACTGTCTGCCCATAAGGACACATCTCCTCTTCAGTGGATACAGAGAATCCTAATCCCTTAAATGACACATTTTTGACACCATTTTACTAAACAAAAAGGGTGCTAGAAGTCAAATCATCCTCTGTAACAATACAATCCTGGCAGAAATGGGTTGTCATACACTGCTATATAGGTTGTCATTTAATACTACTAAAAAGAAAATAACTTCTAGCTCTATTGTCAGGTAACCTTCTTTGGAGAACAGTGAATTTAATGTCTAACACCCACATGAGACACAGGAATAGTTGGATTAACAAGCCATGTCATGCTGTCAGCTGATGTTTATTTAAATGAAATGTCACAATCTAGAAATAAATTGTGAAGTTTAAAAACATCAAATTGTTGTAACACCCAGTGTTTCTCTTGCTGGACAAAAGTTACATCTCATTTACACTGCATTACTTTCTAAACGTCTGTGCACATTCTTGTATCTTCACCTTGTCATTTAGGTGGCATATGAGATATTCTTTTCCATTTCTCCACATTTCTCCTTCAAAGGGAATACCTTTGAAGAAATCTGCTTCATTTTCTTTGAAAAAGACTAAACAGTTTAAATCCTGCTTCTGACATGTGGCTGTTTACATCACCTTGGCAAGTGTTGTGTGAGTTCCTTTACCAAGTTTTTCTTCATTAAATGAAGAAAGAAATAACATTTTAACATTTTCAATTTATTTTTTTAATATAAACTTAAAAAACTTGAACTTCCCTTCTCCAACACTATCTTCAAACACAATTACAATTTCCTTCATTTTCCATCAAGTTCCGGTTTTCTGTCTTATCTTCTTCCCAACTGTCATAGAAATGTAAGAACTGAATAGAGATTGGAACTGAGATAAGGTCAAGGGGAAATGGCTTTAGTGTTTTAACTGTTGATTGTAAATTATTCCTGGCAGCAGCTGCAATATAGGTCAATAACTGAAGTGGAATTCAGGTTGGATTATACTTTCACCTAAATTTCACATGTGAATTTACAAAGTGCTGAGCTCCATCACACAGAGTGTGATGTTGGAAGCTTAAAGTCACTCAGGACTTTTTCAGGATACTGTCCCAAAGCAGTCACCTTTAATTTAAAACTTTAAAGAGAAAAAAAGTTTGTTTAATTATAGAGAGACATCCCCCGGAAAGGCATCATGGGTTTATCTCAAGTTAATGCTAAAAGCTGTTAGCACCAACACATGGGCACCCATTTGGAGAATAAAGATGACATAAGGCGACAGGGAGAAACTGCAGCCCAGTCTCACACCACATAAAACCTGGGATACTCACTTGTCCAGGCTTCCCATTCTCACACAGAAAGGCCTCGTGCTCTGATGCAAACTCGGGGGCATTGTCATTCACGTCGAGAACTTTGATAGCAACAGGCACCCGGGACACCTGGCTGTGGTTCCCTAAGGAAAGAAATCAAAGCACCCAAGGTAAGCATATTTAATTGGGAATTAAATACAGCAGTGCTTGCACCATGACCGTGCTCTTCCTGTCTGCTGCCCTTGCTTCAGCGGGGCTGCCTCGTCTGTCACGGATCGTGGAGTTGGAGCGCGAGATAAAGAAGGATGGCCAGGGCTTCGTGGTTGAAAAGGATAAAGGCATCCCTGCTGCAAACAGCATTTGTTGGAGATTAGCTCAATGAAGACCTTTCTTGGTCTAAATTGGTAAGATTTTTCTTTGATGAAGTCTGTATTGTTTTATTGATAAAGTTCTTTATATATGGAAAAGGGAAGGCTGCAAACAGCAGAGATTTATTTCTTTGTTTACCTCTGGCAGAGAACAGCCCATTTTACTTCATTAATTGTCCTGACTGCACATCTATTATTTCTTTGTTGCAAACACGGGTACAGTGCTGACCCACATTGGGAAAAGGATGGATGGGAGACTGACAGGGATGAAACTAGACAGTAATTTGGACTATTAAAGCACTTTGATCATCTACCACTGACCAAAACCGTGACCTGTGAACCTCTTTCTTCAGTGAAGCAATGACTCATTATTTATAATATAGAGCTATTTTGCATAAAATTGCTTATCACTGTGAAGAGTAGAATGAGCTGTAAGGCAAGAAAAGCTAAACCAACAGTTTGCACCTACTTTGAATAGCTTTCAGAGGCAGCTGTGTCTTTCCTTCAATTCAGCATTGTTAATTTGCTTAGAGACTACTTATAAATATTTTAAATTATTTTTCCCCAAGGAGCAAACACATTCATTCAGTTTAAACCGAGGTCACCAGCTGATTTAGAGAGTTTGATAAACTGCTCCACAGCGCATGCACACCTCCACAGGTAACTCAATCCCAGTTTCAAAGCCCATCTCTCAGTGAATATTATTTTCCAGTCATGGTATTCTGCCCATTTTGTATCATCAGCAATGACAAATCTCAATATTCAGTGAGCTTCTCAGCACAAATTGCTAAAAAGTACAAGAAGGTCAGGCCCCACCAGTGCTCAGGGACCAATTGCTGGCAGCCCTACAGTGACAGAGATGAATAAAGGTAAAATCACCACATGCACTGTGGCTTTTGGGGTTTCCATCAGGCTTAATTCTGTTGTACCCTAATCAAACCCGATATCTTACATCCCTGTTTCCTCCTTGTGTGCTAAAGACTTCCACAGTGTGGGAGGCTCCACCCATAAACCTAAATGTGCAAATTTCAATTGTCCTACTGACATTGAAATAGCATAAGTATAACAATTTTAAAAATGCAAACTCAAATATAGCAGTGCTATAAAAGGCTTTATAATTCTGGGATCATCTGAAATATCAAAATTCTTCCTGGACAGGATATGGAAGTTCACCACACATCAGAATTTAAATGTTTTTCATCTTAAGGAGCCGGAAGTTTTAATATGGAAAGAAACGTATTACAGAAGAAAAAGAAACACCTACACAAAATATTGTATGAGCACTATTTATGTCATTTTGCATCTTATGATCTTACTTACTAACAGGTGAGGGGAACACTTATGCCATGAAATAATAATGTATTTGAAACCAAATAAAACCTAATATGCAAATCATGAATTCCAAACATTTTTAAACACTTTTTTTATCTTCACTTAATAAAAATACAGACAATGAATCTCAAGCTTATCAGAATTCTCAGCAGTAGTGTCATATTTAAACACTAAAGATTTACTTTTATCTAAATTAATGAAATGATGGCAGTTCAAATTTTAAAGACATTATAGAGAAATGTAATTAATTAGATAAGCTTCTAAAGAAATTATTCATGTCCCTTGTGACTGCCCCCAAAATGTTTGTCTTTCATCAGAAATACAAACATTAAATTTAAAGATATTATAATTAGAAACTTGATGAGAACTCATTTAAAAAATTAATTTACTAAACACAAGAGAGACACAGCCGGTTTGGAAATCTCCAAACAAGGGGATATCCACTGCCTTTTAGGGTTCCTGTGACATTTGTTGTTGAGAAAGAGACAGAGAGAGATGGAGAGGGAAATGTGTCTACAGTTTGTACTGCCCACCACCCTCAATACACTGCATTATTTTGTCATCCCAAACTTCCCAGGGAAATTCCACTTTGTGCTGATTGTTTTCCTTCGCCCTGAGCACACCTATTCAAACACGTAGCCGAATCCTCGCTAAGCAAACCCAGGCTGAAAACGCTGTCAGGATGAAATAGTTCCATCTGCCCATTTCATTTCATGTCTGCAGACTGTGGGTGGTAAAACATGTACAGAGGATGTCCAAGCTTAAACCCAGATCTGCTGGCAGTGCCCCAAGTGCTCGAACTGGAAGTAGGAAGGGATTGAAGTGGATCCAGGCTGGTCACAAACTGCCACGGATGCATGGTCACTGCCCTTCAGGCCTTTGGGTGTCTCACTCTTTAGTATTCAACACTCAGAACTTTTCCTCATTTGTATGAATGGACAGTCAGTTCTTTCTAAACTAGGAACAAAACTGAGTTTAATGACTGCGTGGGTTTTTGTTTAGTTTGGTTTTTTGCCCAATAAACCCCTCAGTCAGTAGATTTAAGGGAGACTGAATCTTCTTGCACACACCAGGTGGACGGCAAGACTGATTGCTTAACTTCCAATCTGTTATTTTATGCAAAATCATTTTAAAAAGTTTGAGACTCTCTAAGGAACTAACCAGATTGTTAAAAGCTTTATTACCTGCATTTATCGTGATGCACAGTTTAAAAAGACCTAGTCTGAATTTTGCAATATAAAAGTATCATTAGGGCTGTCACTTGAGAAACATCAGCTTTGTTTGAAAATTTAACACTCTGAGATGCAAGACTGAAAAAATACGGAGAAAATTTCCACTAGTCTAGTTAAATAAAAGTCTTTTTAAGCTAAGGCTGCACAGGAGGACTTAGCTGGTCATGTGGGGACACCACTCTGTGTCTAGATGAGCACAGAACATTTCTGAACTCCAGCGGTGAGATCCAGATGAGCACAGAACACACACACACAGAAAGGAGCATCTAGAAAGATCCAAGTAAAGGGATACTCAATGCAAAAATAACTAGTGGAACTTAGTTTGGGTTGATAAATAAACTTCTAGAAATTACAGATAATCTATCTGGGTTTAAAAATGCATATTGAAAGGTTTACAAGGGTTATAAGCACCTAAAAAGTTCTTCTGCTTTCTCCCCAGTTGACAAGACTCTGCTGGAACATTAAATGCTTGAAATACCCAACTTGCTGGAACTCCTCTGGGTATCTCATTGAAACCTACTCAGGATTTAAAAATGCTGTAGAGTTTGATACCAAAATCATGAGGCAGATAAAATAACCAAAGTCAAATTAAAACAAACAAACAAACAAACATTATCAAGCAACTTAGTATCTCCAGACCTGAACTTTTGGAGGCTACAATCCCATGTTTTACCACTTCTTATTGGGATCAACACTTTTCATCCTTCCTGGAAAAAATCCTGTATAACTGAGATATGTCTGTATTGTAGGAAATTTGTATTACAATGCACTGAGTGTTGTCAACATTGTTACTGCACACAGCAAGAGTTTCTAGGAGTAACTAGAGCTCATAAATGTAATTTTTGGTCTTGTGCCGCAAGTAACAAAATATAACGCAGCTTTCAACTCCCATAAAAACTTAAAGACTTCATAAACTTGCTTAAAACTTTTCCTCCTGTCTTCCCTTGACTGATAAAATGGTTTTTGAGATAAAGAGAATTATTGTGGCCCAAAATTAAGTTTATTATTTATTTAACCCAAATAAATCCAGTTTAGTTCAGTTTTCCTTTAGGTAATTAAATCATCCAAAATCACTTCAACATTCTCTTTAAAAATCATTAACTGTCTTGCATTTTACCTAAATTTTACCTGACTAGAAAATAGATTCCTATAAAATAACCCATTTATTATTATTATTATTATTATTATTATTGTTGTTGTTGTTGTTGTTATTATTACGATTATTAATATCATTATTGTCATCATCACCATCACCATCACATGGTTTAGGAATGGACAGTTCATGCTTCTCTGATTCAATGAAATCTCTATGATAACAATACTTTAAATTAGAAGTAAAGAAAGTTCTAACAAAGAAAGAAATCGAAACAAAATCTGAATCACTGACTTAATAAAAACAACAGTGCTTGGTTTACATCCCTTATATTTCAAACTTATTAAGTTGTATTTTAACAGATCCAGTCCACATGACTTTATCAAAGTTTTATCTCATGACTTTAATAAGATAATCTGCAGGACAAGTTTATTTCTCCTGTTAGAGTTTATGATATTGTTTTCTTTAGGCAATCCTTTACTTCTAGAATGCCACAGCTTATAACAATCTTTCTGTCATATAAAACTGACAAATCTGACTTAAAGAATCCTTAGATACACAGATGCTGTTGTGAAAAGGAAGTTTTATTTATGTTGAAACTTAACTCTAGAAATCACATAGTGCAGCAAATACTGGGCACGTTTGTCTGCAGCACTGGGTAATGATCTGATTCAAGAGAGGCTGAATGCCTGAAACCCACTCCAAAATTGTCAGGAAGACAGCAGTAATTGACAGCATTTCTCTTAAAAATACCAGAACACAAGCTATTTCTGAGCTAGGATAAAATTCAAGCAACCAAACTAAAAACCCAGACAGAACTGCTCACCAGAAAGATTTAGATTCCCCATTGAAATGATTGTACTTTTAAAGGATGAGAAGTTGTGGATTATTGAAATAACAATATAAACATATCAGTACTTAGCAGGAAGGTTCCTGTGCGAGCTGCTAAGACAAGAAACAAACACAGTCTCCTAATTATTATTCAATTTGTATTTCTTTAGCACATGGAACACGCCGGAGGAGCACAGATTGTGGCGAGTGTCTGTGTGTACATGTGTGTGGGAGGGGCGCGGAAAGGAAAGGATGTGGAACATATTTCTCAGGTTTGTTCCTTAAGT